CTCATAGCAACCTCCAACTCCTGGGCTCAAGCGAGTCTCCTGCCTCAGCCTCCCAAGTAGCTGGGACTACAGGTGCCCACCACAACACCTGGCTATTTTTTGGTTGCAGCTGTCATTGTTGTTTGGCGGGTCCGGGCTGGGGATTTGAACCCACCACCTTAGCTGTATGTGGCTGGCGCCTTAGCCGGTTGAGCTATAGGCGCCGAGCCCCTTAGCTTATATTCTTAACCAAACCTGAAGATTAAGAAGAAAATCAGTTCGGTCTACACTTTCAATAGCACTTGCCACAAGATAGATTATTGCAATTACTTTCTTGCACTTCTCTGGACCACAGCAGCTAGGGGGATGCTTTTAGCCCCAAAAACAGACAATAGCACCTTTCTGCCCAACCCCTCCCACAGTGCTCCCTTTCACAATAAAAGCCAAAGCCCCATCTAGTGACAAAATCCCCATCCCCCAACAACCTGGCCTGCCTTCCTGCCCTTCCATCAGGTCTGTCTCTGTCCCTTTTCAGTGACCTCATCACCTGAGCCAACCTTCAAATTGACCTTTACCAACACTTGACACCTCCATACCCTGATTAACACTTATTGCTATCCACCACAATACACAATTTCCTTACTATTTATCCTGCCTGCTGTCTTTCTCAGCTAACTGCACGTGCCATAAAAGCCAGGAATTTATCTATATCCAGCTGACTGAGAGGCAGAGTTTTCATAGACTCTAAGATACTGCTGATAATTACAATACAAAGTTGGTAGCTCTACTTCAATAATACTGATCAAAATGCAGAATAAAAAACCCAAAACACACAAATGCACAGCAGTGTGCTGTACCCTGCTCAGGTCACACTGCTGTTCGAGTGGTGGAACCAGATCTTCTGCATGACCCTGGCCCCACCACTGTTATCAGCTCACCTTCCAAAGAGATCCTTGAATCTCTGGAGGTCAAGGCAGGCATTTTTGGTTTGGGATACCAAGGGAAAGGGGCAGGAGGACCTGTGATGTGGTTGCACAACATTGCTTCTACCACAAGGTACACATGCAAGCACAGTACCCGCCTCCTACCATGTGCTTCAGGGGTAGGGAGGAAGCTTTCTAAGTCACTTCAGTAATCCCAATAGTTTGCACAGTGCCTGGCCCAAAGCAGGCACTCAGATGTGTGCCAGAGTTAAGAAGTGTCTTACCGGTGTCCTGGCGGAACTGGGTCCAGCTGGGGAGGTCAATGATGTATGGGGCCAGTGAGGGGTCAGCCTGGCCTAAAGGGATGCTATGAGCCAGGCTCCCGAGCCCAAAGCGCTGACCCTTCTGCTGGACAAACTGCTGCTCAATGTAGCTGCAGACAGTGGCACTGTAAGGGTGCCAGGAGCCCAGCGTATCCTGCCATTCCCACACAGCCACTGCCACGGGGCTACTGTACATCTGCGCCAGGGAAGGGCTTGGGGCCATGGCCATCTTCCCCAGGACTCCCTCTACTTTCGTGAATGGCTCAGACCACTCTGTCCTGGAGTCTTGGGTTCATTGCCTAGCACCTCCAGCAGACCTGTAAACACAATAGATGATAGCAGTTACCCATGCACATAAGTGGCCCTTCGAGAGTCAGCCTCAGAGCATGCTTTTTCACAGCTGTTACCCACCCTCAATACCATCATGAATCAAGCACCTGATTCTGTCTCTTTGCTCTGACAGCCAGGAAGAATTCAAAGTCAGTCCTGCAGCTTACCTACCTTTGCAAACATTCAGGATGACCTGGTAAATTCTGGGTGTAATCAGTGGTCCAGTTTCTATCTCATTGTACCAATAATTTACCTCTGATCCAACTACTTAGTTTGTCCTTTCATATTCCACAGTTTCCAAAGCAGCTTTATTTGTGAGGTTCAAGGTATTTTTTTTTTTTTTT